AATCTCCCTCTCCCAACCTTTCCTTCCCAAAGAAAGGCGAATCATGATTTTTAGCCCACCCCCGCATACATGCTCATTTCCCTGTGTCTTTCTATTCTTTTAAAACCCTCTGATCCCTGTGTCTGTTTTGCTCACCCTCTCTCTCTCTCTCTCTCCCTCTCTCTCTCTCTATCTCTGTCTCTCTGTCTCTTACTCTCTCTCTATCTCTCTCTCTTTTTTCTCTCTCTGTCTCACTCTCTCTGTCTCACTCTCTCTCTCTCTCTCTCTGCCTCGCTCCCTCTCTATTTTGCTATCACTCTGTCTCACGCTCTGTATGTCTTTCTCTTGATCTATCTATCTATCTATCTATCTATCTATCTATCTATCTATCAACCTGTCTATCTATCTATCTATCTATCTATCTATCTATCTGTCTATCTATCTATCTATCAGTCTATTTATCTACTATCTATCTAACTATCTATCTAACTATCTATCTATCTATCTATCTATCTATCTATCTGTCTATCTATCTATCTATCTGTCTATCTATCTATCTATCTATCTGTGTATCTATCTATCTATCTATTTATCTATCTATCTATCTATCTATCTATCTATCTATCTATCTACAAACCTTTTGTGCACGGCCTGGTGGAAAATCCTCTGCAGTTTGGTCATGTGATCCGTACTTCTGTCTCTCCCAGACCCTGTGACGTCACCACGGTGGTCGTTGTTGTTGGAGAGCCGGCGAGCCTGGTGCTGTGCTACAGAGGAAGGGCCAGCCCGAGAGGCGGACAGAAGGAGGTCAGCAGATCTCAACATGGGGTCGTACATCTCCTCCCCCTCTCTCTGTCCCCGCTGTCTGTCCGCCAGTCTGTCCGCAAGTCTGTCCCGCTGCTTGCTGAAGAGAAGATAGGGCAGACTCCCTTCCAGCACGGCGTTTGAACCACCAACCATTCTTCTTCTGCCGTCGTACTCGTTGTTGGCGCTTGCGATATTATTATTGTCGTTATCGTTACCGTTTGTGTTGTCCGAGAAGCCGTTCGTCAGCTCAGCGGCCGCTGCAACGTTCTGCTCCAGTTCGGCGATGAAGTTATCGATGAGATTCCTGTCCCAGAGGCCGACCAATCCATCATCTTCTGCCGTCTCGTCCGCCTCGGAGGTTTGTCTCCTGTTTTCTCCGGCCGCCGAGTCGGGATACAAAAAGGCCGGCCGTGCTCCTCTGTGCCTGTCTCCGCTGAGCGATCCTGTTGATACAGCGTCCGAATCTCTCGATAAACCCACGCTGCTTCCTCTGTTTGCCGCGGCCCCGACATTTTTCCCGGGGACCACTCCAGACGCCGACCCGTCCTCGTTCCCACGACTCGAAGCGAAGAACGACGGGATCTCGTCCAACTCGTCCTCTAGTCCCTCGAATCGTAACCTCCGGGATGTGGCGATCTTTTCTTCCTCAGCTCCCACCTGTGCCGCTATGTCTGGAGTCGCGGCCAGCCTCGCGGCTACTGTAGGTCGGAGCGGTGGGGCGTACATAGATGTGGCTTTGTTGTTCCTCTTGCCGGCGAAGTGCATGGCGTTACAGTTACACAGGATGCCGCCTCGTCCGTACAGACAGCGGTGTCTGCAGATCTGACTCACGTTCACGCTGTACGAGTGCTGGAGCAGCAGCAGCGACAGCAGCAGGAAACAGCAGCATCTCACAGACACCCCCATGGCAAACTAGGCGTGATAGTAGTATTAAGTCGCAAGAAATATGGGAAACGAATAGAGACGGGGAAACCTGCTTCAAAACGATTTCTAGTCACCCGAAAGATTCCACAGCAGAAATTGTTTAGAACCACCTCTCTAGGGAAATAAAATGTCTACTTTGCTACGATCCTTCAATTCACAAAGACAATGTCCTTTTTTTTAAAGCACGCTTTCAGGTACTATCCTAGGTTTTCAGGCTGCAGTTTCACCCTGTTTTTGGGTTGGGTTTTTTAAATAAAGAAAAAGTTAAAAGTTGCCGTGATTTCTCTACACAAGCGTCCAGTCCTTGCCCGTCACACCGTGAGGATCAGAAAGCAGCAGAGTGTTTTATACCGTATCTCCCTCCTGATGAATCGCTCGGTAGCTACCACGTCACTGTGTT